GGGCGGAGGGTTGGTGGGGTCGCCGCTCGGGTCGTCCTGAGGCGGCGACTGCGACGTGGCGGAGGAGGTGGACGCCGTGCTGGGCGGCGCCAGCCGGGACAGTACCTCGGCCAGCAGCTCCTCCATGCGGCCCACCTGCGCACCAGGAGAGCGGGTCGCATACGGCAGGCACGTTACCATTGCGCGAGGACTAGAGCAGGCCTGCTCAGAATTTTGCACTTGGACTGACCTCGGGGGCCGCGCGCGAGCAACTCCATTGCAAATACGGACGGAGCGGTGGGTGGGGAGGAGACTCATTCTACGAGTGGGGGGCGCTAATAAGAACGCGTCATTGCAACCGTAGGGCGAACTTAAAGAGCAATCTGCCGGAACATGACGGACTGTTACAGAGAGTTCAAGAACCATTAACTTTTATTTTGGAAATGTTTGTTGTCGAAACATGACAATATGAAATATGAATCTAAAACGAATCAGATACACACATTTGATTTGGATAGAAACTATAATAATTGCTCGTAGGGATGGGATAATTTGTTTTGCTACGATGTAATCACACTTTTAGTATAGTCCTAAACACAAAATTGTAATATTGAATCTTTTTTGTTTGATGACAATAATACATTTTTCAATAACTATGTTTAATTAAATAGAAGTAAGATTTTCCACTCTATCAAGCTGTCTAGTCAGAGTGGAAAAATCCTACCAATCTCTGGACTCAAAATCCAGAAATCAGTTGTTGCACTGAGTCACGTAAGTAGGAACTTCGAAGGGCACGTCTGTAACTCCTTAATATATGAACTTTTCCCACTACGTGTTCATCGGCAAAACGTGATTATTTTCGACACCTCCACATACCATAGAAGTTTGCAACATTTATTCCGGGTCACAACACAACCACCCACCTTCTGATGCAGGCGCTGCACCTCCAGCTTGACGTCCACCTTGAAGTCCATGATGTTGGCGATGATCTCTTTGTACTCCGGGGCGAGGATCCCGGGCGCCTGCGCGGCCGCCGCGGGCGGCGCCTGGGCGGCGGCGGCGGGCGCGGC